AAATATCCATTGGCTATGGTCTATTTATGCACCAGTTAAAAACATTCTTTAACAAAACAGAATTTTCTAGTTTACTGGATAAATACACCAGGAGAAATTACAGAATAATGTTGGGTTGCCAAGCAACCAGCAGCTCACAGCCACTTGTTTCTGATCAATTCAACTCATTCATCCAATTTCTAAGTCAAATGGTATAGAATCCTGGCCATTTATTGTTTATTTTTTCCTTTGGGGAAATTATGGTGACTTTCAGTAACACAATAACACTTGTATTCACAGAAGATAAAAGGGATAGATGTTCTTTTGATCAAAATGCTACCCTAATTCATTATTCTCACCATGAGGCTTATGTGGAAGCTATAATTAACTAACTAGACTAGCAACACTGATAAAATAAACTGCAGTAATTAGTAATGTTTGAGGTGTGAACTGTCCTCCCAAATTAGAGAAGGAAAAAAAAAAGATTCTTGCCTTCAGTTAAAATGCGAGGAATTTTTAAGGGAAAAGCACTAAATCGGAATAGAGGTTTATCCCCCTCCATTCTCCTTCATTGGCCCTCAAGAAGAAAAGAAGTGGCATATGTTGTGCTAATATGAGTCAATCAGTCAGTAAATATTTATTAAGTACCTAAGTGCCAAAAACTGCCTAAAAGCTAGAAATGCTGGGGCGGGGGGGGGGGGGAGGAAGAGAATGGAACAAGTACATATTAAGCACCCACCCCATGTTAGACACTTTACAAATATTATCTTATTTGATCCTCACAACAACCCTGGGAGATGAGGGCTATTATTATCCCATTTTACAATTGGGAAAGTAAGGCAAAAAGAGCTTAAGTGATTTTCCTAGAGTTATCTAGCAAGGAAGTAACGTAGACACAATTTGAACTCAGTTTTCTCCTGGACTCTAGGCCCAGTGCTCGATCTACTATGCCACCTATTTGCAAAGGCAAAAGAAAATTAACATAGTTAGCCTTTTAGTTTCAGGTAAACTGTCATTGTATCAGACTGCTTGGAGGTAATGTTAAGATGCTCATGAATAAAGTTGTTTTTTTCTTTGAATGAATGCTTAGCATAATTTTTTTTCTTTCTGGAATGAATAGAAGACACATTATGCTTTCTCTCATTAGCTATTTTAACTTAGCATATTGTATGTAAATCACCATAATAATTGCATTCTCCTCAGACTGAATTAGTTCCTTAGAATGAAAGTGTAATCAAAATGTTCATAATTGAAACTATAGTACTCTCCAACTGGGGGGAAAAAACTTTATATACTAATTGAAACAAATAATAGAATGCATCGTTGACAACTGTTTGCATGAAGAAACAGGGTTCCTTGCCTTGATTAAACTTGATTAAACTTGTCAAGTGGTTTCCTAAATATGAATCCAGTTCAACTCTATGATTGGTTGTTTCTTTCCCCTTGTCTCTACTTCAGGGAGTTGTTTTTTATTTTTTTTTTTAATGTATATTTCTGACTGATGTAAGCTGTTCATCTGATGGACTTTTTCTTTTTAAGGAAAGCATTAAGTAATCTCAAAAACTGTAAAAATAGCATAGAATACTTTGTTCTGTCATCTGTCACAAATCAAAGTGAAAAATAATTTCCAATAAGTGAAACATCTATGCCAGGGCTCCTGGGAAACAACATTTAAATGATCAAATGAGCTCAAGGCAAGCTGTCACATTAATTCTTTCAGATATGTTTTAAGCCTCAATTTGAAGATTAAGTCTTCTCTCAAGAGGGACTGTCAACACAGAATACCCAAACTTTTACCAATAAATACACAATCTAATCAGATTTTACAGTGGGTTCTCCCTAACTCATCCCTTTGCTTTTGCTTATTTCATTCCATTGGTTCAGTTTCAAAGTGAAATGTTCCCTTAGCCAATGGAAAAAAAAATATTAGTGATCTAATATTTTACTTGTGAAATCCTCCATAAAATAAAACATCTAAATGACTAGATAAAATGTTTAGACAAAACCAAAAAGACCTATCTTCTGTGGTTTGAAGGACAAGAATTCATTCAGGGTTTACTATGTGCCAATTGCAGTGAAAAGTGGCTGAAATAATCATTCACCTATACTGAAGTTATTATCAAAGAAATAGCTACATTAAGATATGAAGGTGGGGAGCAGTGGATAATGGCATATACATATACATATATATAATATACATAAATATATGCATATACATATATACATGTATGCATATATACATATACATATTTAATTTCTGGCATGTCATCTTTCTGACATTCACCAAATTCACATGAATAAACATGTAAGATGGATTTCATATAGAGAGTCTATATATTTCATGAGATTACTGAACTTCAAGGTAACAGCTATGTTCAGTGGGGTATTACATCATGTAGTGGACTTAATGATTGAAATTAACTTTACAGAGCTGGGAGTATTACCTTTATAGTCTATGCTGAAGAAATCACACACCCAGTGAGCTGAAAAGTAAACACTTATTTCCTTTCACTAAAAGCCTTTGTTTGAGGGCCATGAGGACTGTATAACAACCCCAAAATACAAAGCATCAGATGAACGTCCGTTTTGCTAAGTGGGTACAAAATTATCTGAAATTCCATTTTTAATGAACTACACTACCCAGAAATCACACTGTCAGATTCTTTTAAATTATCATCCATTTGTCTCAATTTACTCCCTAACTACATTGAGGAGCTTGCAAGAGATGATTATAGACCATCACACTCTGTGCCACTTTGTGCAAATTCACTACAGCACTTAAGGATCAAAATAGGCAGAAAGAAATTAAATGTATACCTGAGCCAAGGAAGATTGTCCAAGCCCAGTATTAGCCATCAGGGGAGGCTGAAATTAGGCAAACTGAACTCAAAAAGCAGCAAGTGAAAATGGTAACAAGGAAACCTCCCCAATTCAGAGTCCTGAAAAATATCTTAATTTTATTCATTAAAATTTTTCTTTTTTTTTTTTTTTCACCACTACGGGCTGCTCAAAGTTTCCCCTCCCTTCTGTTTGCTGAAGCATACTACTGGATGCCCTTCTATGCCAACTTTTCCAGGTCCAGCAGCTTATTCATCTCAATCTGTTCTGGCCAGAATTTTGCCTTATCTGAACGGTCTCGGTGGCAGTGACAGATGGTTTCAGAGAAGATAGGGAAGAGCAGACAGAACGGGATGGAGCAGAAGGTGGCTTCCAAAAGAGCCGCTGGTGCCAGAGCTCAGCATCCAGGCCTCCCCTCCCCACCAACTCCTGAAGATGTTCATGGAGCGGGCGCGCTCTCATGAACGCGGGCGCGTACACACGGGCACAGGAGCGTGCGCCACAGAACGCATTCCAAAGCTACCCAAGTTGCCGGGTCCCCAGCGCCACCGCCTCCGTTGCTCCCCGCGGGCTGAGCCTGGCTCACTTTTCCCCTGGCAGCCAAAGCCGAGGATTTAAAGGGCAAGGCACCAAGCAAGCAACAGGGACTCGGAACGTGGAATTTCCTTGCCAAGCACCTCTTACCCAGCAACGAACCCTTCTTCTTCGAGCACTCCACTGTAACAGCTTAGATCTGGTCCCTAGGGGAGTCACCCAGGGCACTTCTCGGCCAGGCACTCCACCTTCCCACCCCTTTCCCTATCCTCTTGGGGAAATACAAAAACCTCCCTAGAGCCTCAGCCTCACCAGAGAGCCAGAGGCAGCTCCATCTGACCACTACAATTCACACACTAGATTCCTTGGGTTTCCCTATGCTCCCCACCCCCTAATTCTCATCTACCTCCCTCTCTCCCTCCCCACCCCTCCAAGTAGAAGCGCGGCCACACACACACACACACACACACACACACACACACACACACACACACACACACACGCTGTCCTGTACCTTGGCCCCCTGGCTGGGCGCTCTCCAGGCACTTGCCCTTCCTTGTTGCCAGCGTTTCTACTTCAGCTCTGCACTCCCTCTTCCTCCCCCACTGCCCACCCCCTGGAGATAATGGTTATTAGCGGCCCAAGTAATAGTAAGAAAGGGAGTTGATTGGATTTTCCGCCCCGCCTCCTTGCTGAGAGTGTGCGGCTGGCAAGGAGTGGACAGGGACAGGAACTTCCCCATCTACCCTCCCCCCACCCCAGCTTTACAGATTTCTGTCTCCTCTCTCTCTCTCTCTCTCTCTCTCTCTCTCTCTCTCTCTCTCTCTCTCTCTCTCTTTCATACACACACACACACACACACACACACACACACACACACACACGTTTACATTCACACTCCACACTGGTACATACTCACCAAAAAACCGGCACAAAGAGCGAAGAAGGGAACATCCGTGACCGGCATGTCTAGGTCCTTAGGCACAGCTTCCAGGGAGCCATGGTAACGCGGCGAGCCCCCAATTCTTTCAAACTCTCTCTCTCTCTCTCTCTCCCCCCAACACACACACACACACACACACAGGTCTGAGAGACCCTGATGCTTTTGCACACCTAGGTGGCAGAAGGAAGGGACAGTTGAGAGCCAGTGCACTTCACCCCTTCCAGAAAGCTAGATGAACGGAAGAAGGGCTTGGGGATCGTAGAGGAAAGGCTACCTACAGTAGCCCCAAACAGACAGAGGGTGTTAAGGTGGGAGGGAGCCCCTCAGAGATTCCACCATCCACCTAATAGACAGAAACACTAAATTTTAGTAATGGAGGGAGGAGCGCTGAAGGATCAGGGAAGTAGGGAGAAAAAGGTACGATTTGAAGGAGGCAGGTGGAGGACCCCAGACATGTTGTTCCTTACTTTGGGAAATACTGAGCTTGGTGAATAGGTGGTCTCACACACACACACACACACACACACACACACACACACACACTTTCCAATACGGAGCAAAATTGCCACCCAGTCTCCTCTCTTGAGAGAGCAATCCTTTAGGGATTAAAAGGTCTAGGGAGCGAAAGAAATAGCGGGGGAGGGGAGAAGGGGGAGATGACTGTGAGTGAGAAAGATCACCACCACCCCCATTTCTCCCCACACACCTCCTTGGCCTTCCTGGGCGAGATCAGATTCCGTGACTCCCCAAAGGAAAGTTCTTCTGCCACCCCAGCAGAGAGGAGGGAGGCTGACTTTTCGTGGTTAAGAGCCTCTTGTTTGCCGCTGCTGCTCCTCGGGGAGTAACCAGCCTCTCCCAGGCTGGCAGCAGCACGCGAATCCGTCGGGGAGGCTCCGCCTCACCCCCTCCTGTAGCTGGCACAAGACAAGACAGGCAGCTCCCGTCCCGCCTTGTACCCCTCCCTGACTATCCACTCCCTCTCCTCTCAGAACCAAGGCAGTCTCACCTCCCTCTCTCCTCTCCTGTCGCCCTCTCTCCTGGGTTTTCGCTCCCCCGCCTTCCTTTTCTGCTTTGCCTCCCACTCCCACCTCCTCTCTCCTTTCCTTTACTGAGCAGCCTTTTCCCTTCTTCTCCCTCCAATCACCCCTACTGCACACATCCTTCCAACATCCAGTCTTCCCTAATTGCCTCCTTTTTTCCCTGTCTCCCTGTCACTGGCTAATCTAGCGTTAGGGCTTTTTCCTTCATAGGAATGGAATAAAAATGAGTCCTGAACTTTTCTAAACACCTTTTTCTACATCAGTATGATCTTAGAAAGACCTTTACTCTATTTTTTACTGCAAACAGACTCAGCTAGGAGCAGGTGAAAGATAATTCAAGTTCTCCCATTGGTTTTCTTCGATTTTTGTCTCAGATGGTCCTACAGCAAGCTTGGCAGAACAGCTATTGCTACATTTCAGAGGGCAGTACTAAATTTGGCCATAATTTAGCACTACGTATTATACACATACACACATATTAGGTAGTGCTATATATACACATATGTATGTATATGTACATTTATGTGTATATACATACATATACATACATGTACGTGTATACACACATACATAAATACACATATATCCTCATCAAGGGGTTGGTACTCTATAACATTTCATATTTTAAAAGCTCTTGGCCATTCAGACAACAAGGATATTTTTGTCATTGTATTCCAGACTTATAAACCCTCAAATCTTTGCAACTTCCAAAGGCAACATTTTATTCTGTGCATTATGTGGTCTTTGTGTAGACTTAAATTCTGCAGGTCCATATTTTAACCTTGAGGATCTGAGAACTATTGACACCTAATCATATATAATTTTAAAATATTTTCCTTGTCTTCACATCAGTCAGTGAATCAGGCAACAAGCATTCATTAAGCACCTACTATATACTAGGCACTGTGTTAAATGGTAGGAATACAAAGGGGGAGGGGCATACGAGACAAATTATCACTTCTCTCAGAAAGCATACAACTTAATGGGGAGACAACATCCAAATTGCATGGTCAGGTGCTTTAAAATCTTCATATCAACATGGGATTATTTAAAAGCTTTCACTCTAAAAATTATTCAAATCTTTATTTTTTTCTCTTTGTTTACTAGCAAATATAAAAAAAAACCTGACCTTCTTAACTAGCCATTAGTTAAAAATGAAAAAAAAAAAAAGTCCTACCCAATTTAAGTCCTGACTGGTTGTTAGGAAATCACGGACTTCTAATTTTGACTTCACTGTGACTGTGAGATTGTCCTTCCAATTTCTGTTCTCCTCCAGTGCACTGAAAAATAACTGTCCTTTAAAAAACCTGAGCAAGCCTGGGAAGAGGATTCCAGCGTACAGAACAACATAGAAACCACTCAGTGTCCTGCTTCTGAAGCAACTGAATAAGAGTTGTCAAAAATTAATGAGTGATGTTATAAATTTCGATAATTACTAACCTCAGTGGGTGTATTTCTTGGAAACTGCAAAGGCAAGTGAGAGCAGAATTTGTCCCAGGTTTAAATTTGATGGCTGGGGTGGGGGTGGGGGGTTAAATTCTTTGCCCGAGGCATAATTATTCAACTGGGATGATTTCTGAAGAGGAAGTTAAGAGAGAATATTAAATATAGTCCCTACAAAGGGGAATGTTATGCCTGTGGGGAAACATTTCCCAATGTCAAACTCTACAGAAGAAAATAAAAGTCAAACTAAGCTCAGAAGTTTAACCACATTCTTTGTAAACAGCCAGAAAGCAATGGGTTCAAGCCTGGTCATGTATGTCTGTACTAACAAGGTTCCACCTGAAGATTGGCCTCATTTTCCACCTCACTTATTTTCTTAAAAATAGAAGCATTGGTTTATTCCTGAATTCAAATATCCCCCCAAAGTGGGAAACTACTCCGATATATAGAAGTCATAATATGGAAGAATTGAAATTTTAAATGTTTTCTATAGGGGTGTTTTGAAGGTAAAAGCAATGTTCCTGTGAGCCTTTGATGTGTGAGTTAAATGGAACGGAAGATTAATTCTTCAATACATGTGTATAGAGCAACTATATAGTTCTGGTCCTGCCTCAAATACTTAACCAGCTGTATTACCTTGGAGAAGTCATTTAAAATCTTTGGGAGTCCATTTCCTAATCTATAAAATGAGGCATACGTACTCTCAGAGGATTGTCATGAGGGTCAAATGAGATAATGTATGTAAATCATTTTGCAAACCTTATATTGCTCTATAAAATGTAAGCTATCATTTATCATTAATGTCTTCCTTTTCTATTTGTATCTCCAGTGCTTAACACAAACCTTTACACTTTAAAAATGCTCCATGCATTCATCCATCCATCCATTCATTCATTTTTTTCATTATTCTATTAGTAATAAATAAGAAAAAAAAACAATATGGCATAGGAGGATATCATCAATCTCAGAGTCAGGAAGACCACTACCCAGGTTTCTGATACTGGCTCAGTGATCCTGGAAAAGTCATCCAATTTCCAGTGCCCCTGGAAATTCTAAGAAGTGAGAAGTAGGTAATTTTTTCTTTTTAGGAGTTATCAATAACATCTCAGGTCCAATATATTGAGTTAAAAAAAATCCATCAAAACACCACGTTATCAAACTCCAGATCAGTCAGTCAACAACCACTTATTGTCTAATATGTGCCTGCCACTCTGCTAAGCACTGGGAATACCAAAAACAAAAGGAAAAAGGCAGGGGAGAGCTCACAGGCTAATTGGGGAGAAAATAATAGTAATATCTGAAAAAAAATTAATAAATAATAATAATAGCACTTACTATGTGGAAGGCACTGTGTTAAGCATCTTATAATTATTATTTAATTTGATCCTTGCAACAGCCTCAAAGAGGTAGGTGATATTATGTCCATTTTACAGTTGAGGAAACTGAGCAAACAGAGGTTAAATGACTTGCCCAGAGTAACACAGCTAGTAATTATACGAGTCGATTTGATCTCAGGTCTTCCTGACTCCAAGAAAACAATCATGTGTCAAAATGATATATACACGATAAATTGAAGACAATATCAGACAAAGGCACTAAGATAAAGGACTGGGAAAAGCTTCTTGCAAAAGGTGGGAATCCGGTTGGTTGTTGTACTTTGTTCTCAAAAAGAACCAAAATGACATCACTTGGGGTCAAAGTACAGTGTATGCATCTGTGGCTGATCAGACCAGTATGAGCTTAAAAGGTTCTACCACAGGTTGGGAACAAATAGTTCATATGAGCATTTGGAGTGGAGATCTCTCTAAATTCATCCATCTAACATTTCTTTTAAGCTACTGCAATTCTTCTTTGCTCATAGAGAACAGCACCTTCTTTGGTGTGAGAATGCCATGCTGGGCAGTCCTATGCCAGTGTCTCCCATATCTCACAAGTGATTTCAAAGTTCTTCAGAGAGATCTTGAGAGTAACCTTATATCACTTCTGACCTCCATATGAGCACTTGACTTGTGTGAGTTCTCAACAAAATAGTCTTTTAGGCAAATGTACTTTTGGCATTCGAACAACATGACCATCCCATCAGAGTTTCCCTCTCTGAAATAAAGTTTGAATGCTTGGCAGTTCACCTCGAGAAAGGACTTCAGTGTCCAATACCTTATCTTGTCAGGTGATCTTTGAATCTTCCTAAGATGACTCCAAAGGAAGTGATCTGGTTTCTTAGCATGGTACTGGTATATTGTCCAGGTTTCACAGGGATACAACAATGAGGTCAGCACAACAGCTCTGTATACCTTTAGTCGTAGGCTGTGTAATACCTTTTCTTTCACACACTTTCCTTTGGATCCTCCAAAACAGTGAGCCAGTTCTGGCAATGCATGCGTCAATATCATCATCTATATGGACATCTCTGGAAAGCATAATACCAAGGTAAGTGAACTTATTCACAACATTCAATATTTCTCTATTTACAATATCCAGTGGTCCCATGTATGGATGATATGGTGCTGGCTGGTGGAGAACCTGTGCTTTCTTGGTGTTGTTAGACCAAAATTAGCACAAGCAACAGAGAATTGATCCATACTTTGTTGTATCTCAGACTCAGAGGCTGCACTGAGAGTACAATCACCTGTGAACAGAAAGCTGTGCACCAGCTCTCCCTCTACTCTAGTCTTGCATTTAGCCTTTTCAGGTTACATGATTTACCATCAGTGTGCCATCTGACATTGATGATGTTTTCATCCACCTTGAAGGCACTTGAAAACTTTGCTGAAAACATCATGCTAAAAATCACAGGAGCAAACACACAGCCCTGCTGTACTCCATTATTGACTGTGAAAGGTTGAGAACATTGTTCTTTATCCAGAGCCTTGGAAAGCATGTCATCAGAAAACTGATGTACAATACTGATAAACTTCTCAAAGCAAACAAATTTTGCCTTAATTTTCCACAAGCCTTCATGAGTAACAGTATCAAAGGCCTTCATTACATCAGTGAATGTTGTGTACAGATCTTTGTTCTGCTCCTGGCATTTCTTCTGCATTTTTTTTGGGTCAGCAAACACCATATCAACTATTCCTCAGCCCTTTCTTAAGTTACAATGGCTCTCAGGTAGATGACCATCTTCCAGGTGAAGGGTCACCCTATTAAGGACTCAGGCAAAAATCTTGCTGGCAACAACCAAGATAGAGACTCCCTGTGGGTGTCACAGAACAACCTGTTTTCCTTTCTCTTAAAGAGATAGACAACAGAGGCATACTTGAACTCCTAAGGGAATAACCTCTTTTTTCCACATAACCCAGAAAGTTTCTGTCAGCTTTTGTATGAGCAGTGGAATCCCTGCCTCAGAGATCTCAGCTGGAATAGAGGCACTTTGCCACATGAGATGAGTCTAATGGAATGCAAAACCTCTTCTTCATTTGGAAGTTTGGCTACAGAGGGATTGAATTCAATCTGAGGTATATAGTCAATGG